TTTAGTGAGTAATGTCTGGGGTATTAAAAGCTTGTGAGACCAGTACAACTATTGGTCTTTATTAGTTCAAAGCAAAAAAGAAGGAAACAAACAACTTAGAGATGAAACTAGTCTATGGGATTAATAGTCTCCATGATCCACAACCTCATCTAGCCTGAGACCAGAACAACAAGATGATGTCCAGCTACCACGAGTGACAATTCTGATCAAGGTCACAAAAGATGGATCTTAACAGAATGAGAGAAAAATGTGAAACAGAATCTCAATTAAAAAAAAAAAAAAATCTGGACTTCATAAGATATTATTGCCTTGAGATACTCTTTTCACCTTGAACTGAAACTATTCCCTAGGGTCACCTTTTAGCTAAATAGCAGATAGGCTCATGATATAAAGAATACCATCAATAAGTAATGCACTCCTTTAAAAAAAAAACAAATCCCTATGAGATCAAGCAGTCAACAATTAGTTTAAAGCAATGTTGAGATGATAAGGGGGCAGGGGAATGAAGCTAGATGACCGGAAACAAAACAACCAGAAAGGAAATAATGAGAATGTCAGTACAGTTTGGAAAATGTAACCAATGTCCCTCAACAATTTGTGTAGAAATTGTTACCTTTCTGTGTAAGTGTTAATCAAAAATAATTAGATACTAATAAAAAATAAAAATAAAACATATTTGAGTTATAATCCTGACAAGATAGTAGTGGTTTAACCAGCAACAGCTGGAAGGGAAAGGAAATAAATAGTGAAAGAGAAAATAAAATGTGATTTTCTCATATTTTAGTGCTAAAGGGTCAAAAGATATTATTTGACCTTTATAAATCAAGTAACAGAGATATATACATGTTTAAAGGTATAAAGGTAAGTACTAAATCAAATAATATAATCCACTGCCGCAGATACTCAATCTTTACATGCTTAGTTGGGCAAATGACCACTGGAATTAAGAGTTCTTTGATGGTAAATGGTTTGTGCAGCTTTATAGAAGTTCCTAATAGGAAGGAGGCATATCTTTGTTTCTTAGAACTCTAGCAGTTTTCTTGGACGGAGATGATATTAGAATGACAGTCATTCATGAAGAGTAATATGATAGAAAGTCCTTGGTCACCTATCTTTAGCATTGTTAGATACAATGCCAGTCTTTTAATTACTACTTCAAGACTTGTTGAAATGAGAGAGGAATATATTTATCTTCTTTAAACCACTTGTTGCTATTGAATTGGCCCTAGACTCATGGTGCTCACCTATGTTACAGAGAACAGCTCTATACAATTTTCTTGGCTATTATCTTTATGGATTGCCCTGGCTGTTTCAAACTGTTAAGCATTTAACTATTAGCTGAACGGTTGGGAGTTCAAACCCACCCAGAGGCATCTCTGGAGACAGGTTTGATGATCTGGTTTTGAAAGGCCACAACCTTGAAATCCCTATGGAGCAGTTCTACTTGCACAGATGGGATTACCATGAGTTGGAAATGATTCAATAGCAAATATTATGGAAACAATTTGCCAGACATCTTTTCTGTGAAGCTGCAAAGTGGGTTCAAGCCACCAACTTTTGGGTTATCAACTGATCACAATCCATTGTACCACCCAGCCTCCTTTTAAGCCACTTGTCATTGTTCTTAAGTGCCTTTGATTCGGCTCCGACCCATAGTAACCCTGTATAAAGTTTCTGAGGAGCGAATGGTGAGCTTCAACTACTGACAATGCAGTTTAAAAGGATTTTGAAGTCCAGTGCATTAATCCACAGCTCCACTACAGGGCTCCTTTAAGCCACTAGGTGGTGGTGTTGGTGGTGGCGGCAGCGGTAGTGTGCCGTGGAATCTGTTTCGACTCACAGCAACCTTGCATAGGGTTTCTGAGGCTGTTAATCTTTGTGGGAGCAGAAAACC